AGTGTTGGGATGAGGTTTTGGTGATTTGAATGCAGTGTCTTTCTTTAGCCAACTAAAGGTGGGCAAGAGTAGGATTTTTTGGAGTGCAGAGGTATTTAATAACTTTATAATTAAACCACTATTATTTTGTGTATTTCTCAGTCATGAATACAGATTTGATCAAGTACATAAAAAGTTGTTTGTCTGTTACACTAGATTTTTTGTCACCTGTGTAAAGACTGTATAGGCTGCCTTTGCACTTATCTTTGTTGGCCACCAACTACTACAGAGTAATTTTGTGCATATATTTTAATGTAAAATCCACATGATATGTAATGCAACATTACATTCCTATACCAGCAGTTTCACTATAGTGGCAGAAGGATTGTTTCTTTTCTGCTTTTGTATTTGTAATTTTTGTTGATTGTCATTGCTGACCATAGCATTGCCCATTTAAATCCAATTGAACCCATGTTAACTTTCTCTTATAGCCTGAGTAAGGCAGTAATAAAACAAGTGTGCAAAACTAAAATGAAAATGTGAAAAATAAATTGGTTTAAAATGCATAAAACTTGTAGGCTGTGAAAACCAATTGTCATGAGAAAGTTGCTGCAAGCAAACAGCAAAACATTCTAGAATTATGTCTTGAGTTCCACCCAATATTACAATGTTAGAAGGGATGCAGGGATGAAACAGATGTAAATTAGGAGTTTTAATAACTTTGAAGTTTTTAATTAGCTTGAGCACCTGCATCAGAACATGGTTATTTTTCTATTCTTGTACCACTCAGACAGAATAAGCACGATCAAGTGCAATTGGCATTCATTTAAACTAGGTAAGATCATATGTTCAGTACATACAGCTATAACAAATTAGGGACTTGTATGATGTAAAGCACACATCAAATCTCAATTTTCTCTCCAGAGATAATCCCATATTTTTTTTTATCACAGCTCTTAATTGATTTTTTAATGTAGTTAAGACCCTTCTTGTCACTTATGTTTTCCAGAGAGCTGCTAAAGATTTCTTACAAAGGTTATTTCAAGAAAAGTAATTGCTTCTTGTTTCTCTTAAAATAAAGAACAAACACTGCTTACAAACGACCATCATCACAGCTACACCAGCATGACAATTAAGCTGCATTAGGAGCCATTTTAGGAACAAAGGTATATCACAAGGCCAAGCAATACTTTCTGAAATTATTAGTTAAATCAGTTTATTTCAGAATGTGGCATTTTTACATTAGAATCATTTTCCAGTTTTCCACAGACTATTTTGGGGGGAATTTCATCTTGCAGTAACATAGTGACAGAGCTGACATAAATTGTATATATTCACTTGTTATTTACCTAATATTATTTAGAAAAAGCATTCTGTATATGAATGTTAATTTCCTGGTCAAACAGTGAGTCGCATGTTAAAGATAGGGTTTCTGAAACATAAAGCTCATCTAAACATGAGAACAGGATTTTAATAAATTGAAGTCCACCAGTCCTTAAATGTGGAGGTTGCTTCTGTTTTCTTTTTTCAGACTTTAATTCTTTATCTTGACATGGTCATCCTACCTACATGTTTCCTGGTAAAAGGAGAGACTTGTAATCTCAGCAAACTTTGTAAATAGCTATATCAATAAAATGCAGACACCTAGCAGTGCATGTACATACCTACATACATCTTCTTAAGCAACCAGGGAGCCCCAATTCCCGGATCTCACTCTAATGCAAGCAGTAAGGCCCCATTCACACGAAGCAACATACCTTTAAAAGCGGATCCGCGCGGCCGGAATAGCGCGACTGTTCGGGGCAACTTTCAAGCGACGATCCAACGATGGTAGCGTGACCTTCACCGTCAGGATGCATTAGAAAATAGAAAAATTGCACAACATCCGCCGAAAAAAGTGTCCTGCAGGCGCGACTGTACATTAAGACAGCTCCATTGAAAAACGTTGGCCGGCGACTTCTCGCGATATCGTGCGGCAATCCGCTCAGTGTGAATGGGGCCTAATACATTTGGCATTGTCTCTGGTTCTCCCCTCCAGGTTCCTATTAGCTGATCACTGTGATGGGACTTCTTTCTTATGCTCCTTAATTGCCTTGAAACATTGTTTCCTGTTGGTGAATAAAGTGTCCTGTTTTTTTATTTAAACGTGGAGTGCTGGTGAAATCTTGGATCGTCACACAAGCCAGTGTAGTGGCCAGTAGTGCTATGCTCAGTGACTCTGAACCTGATCTGTTAACAGACTGCATCATTAAAGAGGCTTGACCACTGCGCCTACCTGTGTGAAAGTTGGCTGTGGCTGGATACAAAGCCCAGTCATCCTGAGCTTTAAGTTTATCAGGCTGAGCATTATTGAGGACAGAGTGACTGGTATTGACACTCCAGCCTCAGTGACATCTCCCCAATGTGCCTTCATAAGTGCCACCTGAAGCAGCCACTTAAATTGGCCTCATTGGTGGAATGACCCTGGGTGATGCTGCATAGCATTGATGAAGTTATCTCCTCTCTTCAAACATGTTACCTGCAATTAGACATGTGCGAGTCGGTTCGTTCTGAAATTCGTTTCGGACGAATTTTCAGAAATTCGGAGATTTGGATGCATCCGAATTCTGAATTACAGCTAAGATGAATGCAAACAAATTCGAAATTCTTTTATGGACGAAATTCATTATTGGATGAATTTTCGCAGCAAAATTACATTGGGGGAAAAAATGACAAAATGATTTTTTTTTTCCTAATGTAATTTTGCTGCAGAAGATGAAAAAAAAAAACCCGTGAGGTTCAACCCCAATTCATACCAGACCCTTTAGGTCTGGTAGGAATGTTAGGAGGGACCCCCCCAGTTATAAGACAAAAAAAGTGCGTGGGGTTCCCCCCAAAATCCATACCAGACCCTTTAGGTCTGGTAGGAATTTTAAAGGGGAACCCCAGCCCCAAAAAATGGGGGGGGAAAACGTGAGGTCCCCACATAATAGTCCAACCAGAGCCTTGATCCGAGCACTGGATTGGCAGGGCAGGAAAGGGGGGGAACGATTGAGCGGCCCCCTCCCTGCGCCTTACCAGGCCATGTGCCCTCGGCATTCGGAGGGTGTCCCCATGCCGATGGGGACAAGGGCCTCTTCCCCACAACCCTGACCCGGTGGTTGTGGGGGTCTGCGGGCAAGGGGGCTTATTTGCATCGGGGCACCCCTTTAAATAAGGGGGCGCCCAGATGTTCCGAATCAAAACGAAACTAAACTAAACAAATTTTTTTTTTTTCAAAACGAAATTAAACTAAACGATTTTTTGCTGGTGCACATGTCTACCTGCAATAGACTAACAGCACTGTGCATGGATTGGCTGATATTTGCAGCTTTCCTTTTCAGTCTACATTCTGCAATGAAGTTTTCATAAATACATAACTGTATTAAATCTGTATCTAACTTGAGTTCGGATTTAACACAAGAATATGCACTGGGTTATGTTAGCTAAATGTTCCTATATGGATGCCCACTCTTTCCTGGTCAGTCAGGTTGCATACTTAAATAAGCATCTAGTGGTCTGGGGGAACCCCATGTCAATTATTTAATGGGGCTTAGAATTTATGTATGTAATCTGTGTCCATTCATAGATGTCTGGTATAGATGGAACAGCAAAAAGTGCCATTTTTTTTACTTGGTATAGATGGAATTCTGGCTGCTTTGTAAAGCAGATGGGAAATTCAATTTTCTGTTAATTTAAATGTGTTTTTCTTTGTAAATGTCAGTTTTGCTTAAGTACAGTGTATACATCATAGAGGTGCACCACTTTACGGGAATGTTTAATCCCCAAGCATGCTATTTCAAGCATGTTATTATTTTTTTAATTTTGCCCTTTAAGCATTATTAAAAGAGCTGCTCCCTCAAATATTGTTTTTTTTTACTTTTTTTTTTTTGCATTGGTACATGAAACCCCTGGCAGTACGCAGCCCCCATGCCCTATGTTTGACATTGCATTGCCTATTAGCCTTAAAAATGGCCAGATTTGATTGTATATATCCTGCTCCAATTGACTTCACTGGTGTTCAGATTTTTGTTTATACATTAGAGGAGTTTGGCAAACCTCCTGAGAACCAAACCCAGATATATTCATCTCATCCCTACTGAATACTCAGACTAAGGAAATCTGAGTAAGTCTTCTCATTGTGGTGTTCCCATTATTAATTGGTTCCATTCATTGCCTGCTTTTTACATAACTCAGCACTTCATCAGGATGTAGGCAATGTTACTTGCTATACACAACACAAAGCCTCCCCCCAAAAAATATTTCCCTAAATAGTCACAGAATCAAAAATGTTCTGTTTTGTGTAGAACAGGTGAATATTTACCAAAGAGTTATTTTGACTGAATTTCCACCTGACTTTCTCTTCTTTTGTGTTTTTCCTATTTATTTATTTGTGAGCTTTTATAGTCTCAGGAATTGTGAAAGAATAAATATGCCTTGTGTGGGGGGCTGTTTTGGGAAGTCTATTGATTTTGTTCTTTTTATTGCTTTGAAACCAATGAATGATGTAATGAACGCCTAGAGAAATAGTTTACTAAAGGAGTAATCTCTGGCTGGTGTTCACTTGAAATACCCCATCAGGTTAAGTTTCATTACTAGAATGAATCATGTGTTAGTAACAAAATGTGTGCATACTTGGAATGCTGGTATGTTGTAGCTCCATTAAATTTCAACTCCTATTAACCTGAAGAAAAAAATACTGCATATTTAGTGCTGTTGTGATCTTTTTCATCTAACTAAGGTGAAAACTCATACTACACAGGTGATCATGCTGTCATATACATACAGTAATTGAATTTAATTTGTTTCTTGAAAAATAAAGCGTGGTAGTATTTTTTATTATATAAGCAAACTACATCTGCAGATGAATTTAGAGGACAGTTTGTTCATATTGATACAGCCATTTTCTATATATAATTTACAATAAATATGCTATTATATGTTGTTATGGTAATTTTTTTGATTAAACTCTTTAATGCTTCATCAAGTTTTTTGTTCTGCAGACCGGATCTGTTTGAGTGGAACAGTGTTCTGAGCCAACAATCTGCTGTTCAGCGGCTGGATCATGCATTTAACACTGCCCAGCAGCACTTGGGAATCGCAAATCTCCTCGATCCTGATGGTGGGTAAACAAACTTGTACTTTTAACTTTAATTTTCACTTATAAATCCCAGTGGAAATGATGCATAATGCTTGATGTACTTTGTATGCAAAATGAGCGCAGCATAAGGTCTTGGGGGACATGCAAGGGGGATTCATCATTTTCTCTTGTTAGTGTTAATTCACATGCCTGCTTTCAGGAGATGTACTCTTAATTAATGCACATCATTTCTCTTACACATGTAATTTGAATACAATTTGTAGTCGTTCAAATTACCAACACAACTGAACCCTTTCTGAACAAATTTGTGAATGCTTTCTTTCAGAAAAGCTCATTTATTATTTTAAATTGCACAGGGTTCTAGATGCATAAAAACAACTTATTTTTCTAACTGGGCAGAAGTAATGCCTAAACAGTGACAGGGGATCTGTCATAGTCTTTTTATGTAAACTGCCAGTTATATGTTTTTATTCGAGTTTCACCTGTTATATATACAGGTGAAACTCGAATAATTAGAATATCATGCAAAAGTAACTGCAGTAAGTGCTGCAAAAGGGGCCCAAACCAAGTACTGAGTACATATGCATGCTTGTACTTTTCAGAGGTCCGATATTGTTCTATGTACAATCCTTGTTTTATTGATTGCATGTAATAATCTACTTTTTTGAGGTTGTGGATTTTGGGTTCTTGGGGTTTTCATGAGCTGTAAGCCATAATCATCACAATTATGACAAATCACGGCTTGAATTATCTTGCTTTGCATGTAATGAGTCTATCTCATATATTAGTTTCACTTTTTAAGTTGCATTAGTGAAATAAATGAACTTTGCACCATATTCTAATTATTCGAGTTTCACCTGTACATAACTGGATCATCTTGTTGGTTTGTCTTTTTGGAATATTCACTATATTGTGGCATTTGCAGTTTGCTTTGATGTGCTAATACTAATATTTTATTTTTAAGTAGATGTAAACCTTAACTGAATGCTATTAGTCTCTGAAGGTCATCCAAGTCATGGTATATCTGTAATAAATAAGTCAAGGCAACTGGACTTGCTGTATTTTTCTTGAAGATGTTTCACTGGTCATCCAACCGACTTTCTCAATTGAGAATGACTTGTACAAAAATGTATCTGGGAATAAATACGGTGAATGCTGCTCCAATCCACATGAGCTGTTAGTCACAACCAGGTGCTGGTTGCATTTGCATAATTGGAGCTAGGAGGTGTTAATAACCCAAGAGGTGTTAAAACAGCATTGTATGTGGCAGACAATAGATGCTTCACCACCCCCCCCTCCCACCTCTATTCAAGCTTGGCTTGTCCGTTTTTACATAAATTGCCTTGTTCACACCGCTTTTAAAAACCAGTCCTCCCCCTGTGTAGGATGCGTACTTGACTGTCTTCAAAGGAGTGACCTTTTTCCTTCTTCCCTTGTGTTTTGGTGTTGGGTCTTTTGGGTGAACCAGTTGTTGCCTCAGTGTATTGCTGGGTTTAAAGCAGACAGGGATGTGATGTTTTTTAAAAACCCTTCTGAGTTTCTCAGACACCCCAGCTACATACAGGATGAACAAGTTCTTCCGTTTGTCATGCTTTTACCCTTCACTGGTACTCTTGGCATTCTTTCCTCTTTCTGTTTTGATAAAAGCCTAGTCTGGATACCTGCAAGTTTTAAGGGCCCCCCTGAGGTGTTTGAATTCCTCTACACCACCGGGCAGAGAAAATCATGCCTGTGTGAGAGTGTGACAATATAGGAACATAACTGAGAGGCATTGTCACAGGAAGTAAGATAACATTAACATGTTAAAGCTTATATGAGATTTTATTGATTGTGTTTACATCTACTTTAACTGAGGAAAAAATTTGATTGTCACCAAGAACCTCTTAACATCCCTACTATGCTTTTTTTTCTCCTGCATTTAGATTTACCTGCTGTTATATGTGTTTAGCCGTTTTTACACACGTTTACATACGTTTATTATAAGAGGTGCACCAAAATGAAAAATTCAAAACTAAAACAGAACTGAAATAAAAAAATGTCAGGCCGAAACCGAAACTGTTTTTTATTAACTTTTTAAAATGTTTTAATAGCTTTTGAAATATAAACTTTTTATTTTTGGATATTTTTATTCATTTTTTATTAAATATTTTATTTTTTTACTTTACTTTTATGGGGTACGGGGAAATATTAGGGGTCTAAACAAACCCCTGATATTTCCCTTTTATAATAGAAAAAGAGATTGAGGACACAGAATCTTCAACCTCTTTTTCTGCAGCCCCTGTTATAAATGAACAGGAATCCTCTATACTGAGTGTTCCTGATCATTCATAATATGAGAACATAGTGTGTTTTCTGTAACCACAATTATGAATGAACAGGAGGTGATGTAGATCTCTTCCCATTCATTCATAATTGAGGTATATTATGTACAAACACTCAGCGATCACTGATCGCTGAGTGTTTGTACCGCTCTCCTTCCTGACAGCTGTCAGAGGAGGCTGAGCGAGCGAAGCAGGGAAGAGAGCTCAGCCTACTGTGACAGCGCTGGCTCTCTCCACCCACAATGCTCTGCTGATCTTTGACAGGAGGCTGAGCGGTGTGGGAGGAGAGACACCAGCCGCTCACAGCGCTCTCCTCCTGCATCGCTCAACCGCCAGTGACAGTTTCTTACAATCTAAAAGGGAGGGGCAAGTGATACAAGAGGTGGTTGCTGTGTGGAGATGAATTGTTTGACTAAGTGATAGTTCTGTGGTTACGTTGAGGCAAAATAGGCTTCCCTGAAGAGATGAGCCTTTAGGGATTGCCTAAAGGCAGTCAGAGATAGACAGATGGGTTGGGGTAGGGAGTTCCAAGGATGGGAGAGACTCTAGAAAAGTTCTGGAGGTGAGCATGGGAGGAGTTTATGAGAGAGCTAGAGATAAGGAGGTCTTAGGAAGAGCAGAGGGGGCAGTTAGGGTGATACACTGAGACAAGGTTGGAGATATAGCCTGGGCAGAGTTGTGGATTGCTTTGTAAATTGTAGTTAATATTTTGATATGCTATCATTTGGGCAATTGGAAGCCAGTGGAGGGATTGGCAAAGGGGGGTTGTAGACCCTGAGAAGTTGGTTAGGTGGATGAGTATAGCAGCAGCATTCATGATAGGCAAATTAGGAGATAGTTGCATTAGTCAAGATAAGAGATAACAAGTGAGTGAATGAGCAGTCTTCTGTTTTCATTGGTAAGGAGAGCGTATTTTGGAGATGTTTTGAAGGTGAAGATGGCAGGATTTGGATAGTGATTGGATGTGGGGCAGAAAGGTGAGGTCCAAATCAAGGATGGCAGGTAGCACCTTGGCATGGGGAGGGAGGGATAGTTGTGTTATCAATCTCAATGGAAAAGTTGGGGGAAGGAAATATCATGAGCTTAGTTTTTGAAAGATTGAGTTTTAAGAAGTTTTGTGACATTGAGACAGATATATCAATTAGTAAATTAGTGACATGCAAGGAGACTGAGGAGGTGAGTTATGGAGTGGAGAGATATATTTCAGGGTCATTGGTTTAGAAATGGTATTGGAAGCCATGCAAGGTTATCAACTGACCATGGGAGGAGGTGTAGATAGAGAAAATAAGAGAAGAGGTCCAAGAACAGAGCCTTGGGGGACCCCATTCAGAAAGAGGAAGAAAAGAGGATTAGATCCTGTCTGCGTCCGAGCATGGACACCCGCACCTGCACGGATGTGCAGCTTGTGTTAGTCTATGACAGCATACAGCCTTGTCCTCCCATAGGGAAGAACAGGCTGTTGCGTACAATCACACGCAGCACCTGTCCTTCCCATGAACGGCCCGATACGGCCATGCACGCCACATGGATGTTTAACTCCCCACTCTATACTGTGTGAATGAGGCCTAAAGGAATGCGTAGATAGGTAGGAGGAGAACTATGAAAGAGCAGAGTCTTAGAGGCCAAGCGGGTGGAGATTTTTAAGGAGCAGCAGAAAGGTCTAATAGCAAGAGTAAAGGTGGCCATACACTTTACAACCATCGCAAGACCCTAGTCTTGCGATGGTTGTAAAGTACTTAAAAAAACATACGATCTGCCCATCTTGGACAGGCAGATCGTACTTGCGATCATCGCAAGCCCGCCCCCTTGAGGGGCAGGCTTGCGATGACTGCAATGAGGGGCGGGCTTGCAAGGACGGCAAACGGGCAGTGTGCGCGTGCGCACACCGGCCCGTTCGTCAGTTGTCGAACCAGCAGGCCACTCACTCGCCGAGATTCCCGGCGGGTTTTCCAGCCTGCTTGTTCGATGGAAGACGTGCGACCGTACAGTAGAGACAGAACAAAAGAGAGCGCCGCCATAGTGTAAAAATGTTATTTAATAGTAAAAACACGCAGCTCTAAGGCTGTACTTACAACAGTTCGGTAGAATAAAAACCAGTAGAATAGGGTGAGAGGACGGAACCCCTGGCAGGGAGAATCTGGAGCGATGTAAAACACCAGTAACCTCGATCCCTGTATTGATAAATGGTTTGCATTAGGCGCCGGTATTGTTTTGCAATTTCGTACAGTAGAAACGGTCGCACGCCTTCCATACACTGTACGATTCTCGTACGATCTGGGAGTAGTGACCATTGTTTTTAGTGGTTAGTAATTCATTAGTGAATTTTAGGAGGGCAGTTTCAGTGAAGTGTTGGGGCGAAAGCCAAAAACCATATTTAAATGCACATGTTTCTGTGCATTTAAATATAGTTAGATGTATTTACACATTAAGAGTTTTTAATTGAACGCTGGATGCACAGAATTTTATTTTCTGTCAATGAAGTTAAACTGGATGTACCTAAATACAGGTAAACACACAGTCTGAATGATACTAATAAATAATTATATGCATTTTTGGGCAATCAGAAATGTCCTATAAACACAAATAAATGCATATTTCTAAATTGAGAATTTTTGAAATACCAAATCCTATTACAAGATAACCTTGCACTGTGCTGGAGTGACAATGAGATTTGAGCTACTTGGCATTAATGAAAAAGCA